TGGGCTCTTATATCTAGGATTTGTGTGCACAAGTCAATGGTCCCACCAGAGTGGAACACAGGCTGATTGAAAAGAGGAACACGACAAGCAAGAAAGAATGTCCAAATGAACAAAACAAACTGACAAACAAAATAGATCCAGGGGCATGGAAGCATGGAGCAGACTGTGGGATCTCAGAGGGAAGGGGGGCCGGGGGGCCCGGAAGAAACTAAAGAACTTATATGCATACATGCATTGCCCATGGACACAGACGTGTGGTGAAGGCCTGTAGTGGAGTGGGAGCCAGGAGGAGGGGGGCAATGAGGGTAAAAAAGGGGGGACATCAGTAATACTCTCAACAATAAAAATAAATTCAAAAGAAAAAAAGCATGTCCTGAGGACATGGTGAGCTCAGTTTGGATCCAGATTTAGATTTAATACCAGGGTTTCTTAGAAGAGGCAATGGAACCACCACTCTGACAGGAGAATATAATTCTTTCAGTACAAGAGGTACCCAAGAGCCATGCAAGAAGGCTGCAAGGTGATGTGATGTGATGGGGCTGAGAGTTGGGGTAAGGAGCATCCATACATGTATCAAGCCTGGCCAGCAGGCTGGGATGAGTTTGAGATGGGCTATTAATTCCTGAAGATGGTCACAACAGGATAAGGTGGCAGGAATCAAAGTGGAAGCCCATTCCTAGGACCTGATGTCCTTACTGTCAAGAAGAGTGCAGCAGGGTGGGCAATAGGAATGTTGGACCAGATCCCAGCTGGCAGCAAAGGAAGCCAAAAGGTTAAGGCAGAAGCCTGAATGCCAGGCCTAAAATGTGAAATGTGGGTACTAAGAGGATGATTATGACTTGGCCCCACCAGCTGTGGGAAAGAGGCAACTTACATGTTACCTGTCTCTGGTTGAGACTGGTATAAAAACTGGGTGGTGCTGGGCATTAGTGATAAAACATCCTACTCCAAGGCTAGGGAGGGCAGGAGGAAAGAAGCAAGGACTGGTGCGGGTGCCATGATATTCAGTTCAGTCAAGCACAAGAGTGCAAGAATAATATTAACACACGCACACATACGCCCAGGTCTGTACGCACACAGCATGTGTGTCTGTGTGTGTATGCCGCAGGATCAGGGAAAGGGGAAATGATAAGGGCCCCTAGGGATGCGATCCCCTGGCAGGGCTCCTGTCTTCTTTCACTCCCTCTGGTTTACCTGCTTGAACTCTCTTGATGAAGAGCCACTTTGTTGTGCCGCTGGGCTCTGCCCAACGTCTTTCACTCTGCCTGGATCTGACGCAATGAGCATGAATATTAATCAGGAAATTTCTGGTAATTAGTTTCCTCAGCACAATGTTCACTTTCTTTTGGTTTTGATGGGTCAATAGAGTGGAGAATTATGCCAGTCATAACACAAATGACCCTGCCAAGAGGAATGAATCCAGAAAAAGCCTGCTGTGACCATAGACTGGCAGGCTTCCTTTGGAAAAGTTTAACACATACTGGAAGAGCACTGGTTGACCGACAGACTTCCAAGGTCAGTGGTGAAAACCCACCAAAAATGGCACAAGAAGATATTGGGAAAAAAATTCTAATAATGAGAAGGGATTAAGCAAAACACACACACACACATACATATATATATATGTATATACACACACACACACACACACACACACACACA